GCCAGACGGGTCGTCATATTACGCTAGACATAACACTGATTGTCACATAAATCAGATTGAGACTTTCGTCTTAGAAAATCTGACTGATCTCCAGGACTCGGATATAGTTCTTTGTGGTGACATGAACGCGAGAACAGGAGAAGGGAATAATGTTCCAGATGAACTTGATGCACGGAGTGCTGAATACATGCAGAGAGACACTCTCTGCCATGCAATCTCCTACCCAGAGTTCCATGCGGCCAGCCAGCATAGTACCTCTGCCACAGGCAAGAAAAATGTGACGATTCGTCACATCTTGCACCGTCCATTCAATATAATGTACATATTTCTTAACTCTTTTATTTTTGACGAGTCTACACATCTAATTAAACATCTTTGATAGAATGGTTTAGTTTCACTGAGAAAATATCCTAAAACATGTAACACTATTTCGATTTGCGTAGCGATCCTTTGTTTACATAGGTTGTACGGCTCCACGTGCTGTCATCGAAGCCGACGGAGAGCAAACGATGCAGCCAGTTTGATATCTAAATATGTACTGTCATAGACCTAACTGTCGCAGTTGTGGAAGAATATATATGTAACAATGTAAAACATTATGAAGAGAGCGCCGAAAAGCGTTCGTGAGTCCAGTCCCTTCTTATTATGAATATGCGCGTTTGATTACAAACAAGAGAAAAGTCCGGTCACGTGATATGCAAATTAGCCTGTGGCAGTGATGTTATGTTAAGTCATCGCTGTGCCGGAGTGTGTCTGCCATGATGACGTCAATGTGTCAAACCGGAAGTCACATGACAAGGTGATTAATAAATTTGGGCGTATACTTCTTGACCTTTGCTATGCTCTACAACTTTATATTGTAAATGGAAGAGTTGCCTATGACATGGAAGGGGAATGTACATATATAGGCCAGCAGGGTTGCAGCGTCAATGATTATTTTATTTGCACTCCATCCTTCTTTCAGTTTATTGAGAAACTAAACATTGGCGACCGATCTGCGTTAGACCACTATCGATATAGAACTAGCAATAAGCGACTTTGTCAAAATTATTTTAAAGGCCGCACAGTGTATGAGGAAGACGACTAACCTTGATAGGAAACCTAAAGTTAGACTTAATTAACAAAGAGTGTAGAGCAGCTAAACAACGTGCTAGAAAAGCACTTAGAAGATTTAGACGTAATCGCTCTGATAACAACCGAGCCTTATACTGTAGGGAACGAAATAAATATAAAGCTTTTTGTAGACAATTCAAAATAAACCAATGCAAAAACAACCTCAGAAAATTAAACGACTCTTTACATAACCCATCCCTTTTCTGGAAACGAGTCCGCTCACTCAGACAAAAATCAGGCCCCAGTAATCAGATATCAAAATCAGAATGGCTTGTCCATTTTAAGTCAGTCTTTAAGAATAACAATATCTTTCAGATTATCCAGAATGAAGATAACTCTATAGATGACTCACCCCCTATACTCGATGACATAGACAGACAGGTGCTAGACTGCCATATTACAGACAGTGAAATTTTGAATGCCATTAATAGTCTTAAATGTGGTAAATCACCTGGTCTCGATCTGGTTCTTGTGGAAATGTTGAAATGTTCAAGTTCTGAAATTCTGCCATTTCTTAGTAAATGTTTTAACAAAATATTCAATGATGGCTACTTTCCAGAAGTCTGGTCACGCTCAATTATTGTCCCAGTTCATAAAAAGGGAGATGTAAACAACCCAGACAACTACAGAGGTATATCATTAATGAGTATTTTAGGTAAAGCTTTTACATCTATTCTCAATAATAGACTTACACTGTGGGCAAACATGCACGATAAAATTCCCGAATGTCAAGCAGGATTCAGGAAGTCGTATTCCACATCAGACCACATTTTCATCATATATGCAATTATTTAGAAATGTTTATCTCGACGCAAATCTAAATTGTATGTTGCATTTGTTGATTTTAAAAAGGCGTTCGACTCAGTTGATCGTTCCAAACTATGGTTTTGTCTTAGAAATGCTGGCCTGGGAGGCTAAATGTACACCATGCTTACGTCATTGTATTCAAATATCAAATCATGTGTACGCAGTCAAGGTGGTTTATCTGATTTTTTTGATTGTCCAGTCGGTTTAAGACAAGGATGTATTATGAGCCCTATCCTGTTCTCTTTCTTCATAAACGAGTTATGTAATGATATTTCGCTGCAAGGTAAGCATGGTGTCCAGTTATTTCCCGACATTATTGAAATATTTATGTTACTTTTTTGCAGACGATGTAATTCTAGTATCTACCTCAATTATTGGGTTACAAAACCAACTAAACATACTAGAAAGATATTCTTCAGAATGGTCGCTATCAGTAAATCTTGAAAAGACTAATATTGTTGTATTTAGAAAAGGTGGTCCCCTCTCTTCGAAGGAAAAGTGGTGTTTTAATTCTAAACCCGTTAATGTCGTAAATCATTATAAATACCTCGGTGTAAAGCTTTTCTTTACTATGAACTGGACACATTGTGCTGCAGATTTAGCTCTCAGAGCTAAGAAAGCACTGTTATACCTCATGTCCGTTTATAACAACGTTGGTTTCCTTACCCACAACGTGTTTTCAAATTATTTGATGTACAAATTCAGCCTATTCTTTTGTACGGTTCCGAAATATGGGGCTTCCAACCTTTCCAAGCGCTTGAAAAGATACACTTACTGGCCTGCAAGAAATTTTTAGGCGTTACACAATCTACCCCTAACGACATGGTATATGGAGAATGTGGGAGATTTCCAGTTTTCATTAATGCTCAAATTAGATGCTTAAAATACTGGCTAAAGATAGTACAAATGCATGATCACCGTCTCCCGAAAATTTCCTACAATATGCTTCTACATTTAGACAGTAACGGCAAAGAAACTTGGGCGTCCCATATAAGGAACCTTCTTTGTTCTAAAGGTTTTGGTATCGTCTGGTTAAACCAAGGCGTAGGTAATGTCAATGTTTTCCTGAACCAGTTTAGAGATCGCTGTATATGTATTTTTCAACAAGAATGGCACTCGAGGTTAGAAGAAAGCTCCCGTTTTGATTGTTACAGACAGTTTAAGTCCCTTTTAGAACCAGAAAGATATTTATCCCTCGTGACTACAAAGAATCTGAGACTGCTACTTGTAAAATTTAGATTGGGGCTATTAGATTTAAAAGTAAATGAAGGAAGAAGACTGTCCATTGATAGAAATTATAGATCATGTCCATTTTGTAAAAAAAAGGCATTGAAGACGAATTACATTTTCTTGTTGAATGTCCAGCCTATGATAAAATCCGTTCTGATTATCTCCGTAACTGTATTACAATCAGAAGTAATAATGCAGCATTTTACAAAATTGTTTCCTCATGCGATGTCTCCATTTTAAAAAGATTATCACTGTATATCCATCATGCTATTATGTTAAGAAAACAATTGTTATCCTCCTAAATAAGAACCTTCTTTGTAACCGATGTATATGGGCCGGTGGCCTTACATACAAATAAACATATTTTGACTTTTGACTTTGACACCTCATATTAGTCATTATAAAATACATAGCTGATATATAATACAGTAGTTAATATCGGAAGCTACATTTTCAACAGATTACATTGATTTTACAGCTAGATATCAGTTTATTACATTTGGTTATGTAATTTATATTTCATTTTTATTCAATTATAGGTTTTATCTGTACTTTTCAAAATAAATCGTTAAATGCAGACGAATCCGTTAATGTAATTTCGCTGTGTCAGAGCTGTGTTGGTTAGGCAGCCAGAAACCGATGGTCGTTGGTCCGAATCCGGGATTACTTTGAAACGTTTGTCAGCATGCGTAATAACTGTGCGCGTACGTTTCACCGAAGTGGAAAACATCTGAGACCTGTCACTTTGATGTATCCTCTAACACTAATATGACGCTACCATCAGAAATAAAATTAAAGAACTCCAAGTAAAGACTAAGAACAATATAGTTAACACATATGCTTAATTGAAGAAAATTAATATAACTGATTCCATAACAACTGAGCATTATTTTCTTGAATGCGGACGTTTTGTAACGTTTTTAAATGAAAACTCATCGCCTATCCTTAGATTGACTGATAATTCTACAACAAAAGGGCAGTTTCTTAATGGTAATTCTACGAGACCGCTCACTGATCATAGGCGGATCCAGAGAGAGGGGGTAGGGTGGGTGTTGTTGTTGCCCCCTTCTAAAAAGCTGTATCCGCCCTGTTGATTACGTTGATGCAAACGTGAACATTAGTTGCAATTTCATCCATTTGGCAGAGGCTTGAGTTTATATGTGACAGCTCTTCAAACTGGATTGGCTTGAGAAATTGATCACTTGATCAAATAATAAGAACGACGTCAATTTATGAAAATGACAAGACCCTGGAAAAGTCTGTCCATGCAGGTAAATGTACGGGGATAGAACATGGCATTGTATGTGAATAAAATGTGAAATGAAAAGCTGACACACCATGATATATCTGGAATACTGTTCAAAGCTATCTGGCGGTGGGGTGGCCTAGTGGTTAAAGCGTTTGCTCGTCTCGCCGAAGACCCAGGTTCGACTCCCCACTTGTATACAATCAGGGAGACTCTATATGTAGAGTATCCCTGATACAATACGTGAAGTTCATTTCTGGTATCCTCTGCAGTGATATTGCTGGAATATTGCTAAAAGCAGCGTAAATATAAACTCAGTCATTCAAAACCAACTCGCCCAAAACCTTGCTTTGAACAGTATAAATAACGACATGTCAGCTGTTTATCAATGTAGGTGAAAATCATATCGTCCTTGATTACAGCAACGATTGTTTGAGAGAGGTTTATTTTGTGTGCCTGCTTCCTGTTTTGTGTGCGTTGAATAATTTAATGCAACTGATAAATGTAGACATTAAACGTGTACGAACAAGAATATAAACTCAGTTACAGAGCCATGCGATAACTCTGGATAACCGAGTGCGTTGATGCGAAACTTCGTGTTGTGAAGATTAGCTTTACCTGTCGGCCATTGCTGCCTGGTGGCGCAACAGCGTGGTGAATATTTCTGACATATATTTAACACATTTGTGAGTAAGTAAACCACACACCTGCCAAGATGCCGCCGAAGAAGAAAGCAGAAGGTCCAAGCAAAAAAACTGAACAGAAAAAGAAAGAAAAAGTTATAGAGGTATTGTTGAACGATACTCGTCATCACACAGCCTGATACAGCAGTCCCCCCATTTTCGCTTGCCTTGTCAATATGTCGACATAACGTCAATTTGAAGCTTTTATTGTTTTATAATTTTGTAGGACTGTTTCACTATGTCGGTCTACGTCTATCTTATCCATCAGTGCTTGCCCACAATCACTTAATCTCTCACTCTGAAATCTAAAATAAACCAACCAGCACGTTGAAAACACAGATATTTTATCTGCCAGGATAAAGGGTGGTTAGGAATTCACTTCAAATACACCAAATAATAAAAGTAATAAAACAGTGGGCGAAAGTAGAAACTCAGTTTTGGATATAATGTTTACAAACAAACCTATACAATTCTGTTATCTGTTCGATGAAGAACTAAAGAATCCAAGTCTTATTTTAAACTCAATCTGTATAAACAAGTATAAACAAATAAGGTTATTTAGTTAAATCAATGCACTATGAACAGTGGGATGTGGTTAAAGTGGAATCTGTGAATGTTGCAGTAAACACAAACACATGTAACTGCATGAGGTTTTCTTGTGGCATAGAATGCTGCTCCATATGACTGATCAATCCACAATTTCGGCTTTATTTGTTGATTCTTGAATCTTGTTATGTACATCAAAATCTCTTGTCTTACTTGTGAGCCTGCTTGGTACTATGGCTGTGCCAAGATATTGGTTCTGTATATTTTAGATATTCTTGAAAGGGAAGTTGGTTTAGTTAAGTAAGATAATGGTACACATAATTACACTCAACGCCAGGAGGAAGCACAAACAATCAAAGCTGTCTTGATCCGCGACAGGTTTATTACGTGAGTTTACAAAAGACACGCCGGAAGAATGACGCGGATAACCCGGATGGAATATGACGTAAGGTATTCCTAACAACTACTGGCGGGACCACTTTTTCTTCTCTTAACTCTTTAAGTTGAGAATGAGGAATTGGACAAAAAGCGAATGTTTAACGGAATGAACACTGGAATGGCTAACTGCCTGACTAAAATTTAAATGTCCTTGAAAAGTGTCTGGAATGGAAAGGAGGGAAACACAGAATTAAAAGTCCATATAGTAATCATCAAATCTTGTTGGTGGTCTCCTTGAAGGGGCGGTGGGGTAGCCTAGTGGTTAGCGTCTGGAGCGAAGACCCGGTTCGATTCACCACATGGGCACAATGTGTTAAGCCCATTTCTGGTGTCCCCTGCCATGATATTGCTGGAATATTGCTAAAAGCGGCGTAAAACTAAACTCAGTCAGTCAGTCTCCTTGAATGTGAGGTGCGTCTGGTCGGAGTTACAGCACAGTCTCTGTTTGGGTGCTCCGACGTGGGTACTTCAGAATTGATACCTCCACAGGGTGTTTGGTCCTCAGGGGGATGAATCATGGGAGGTGGCTCATCTTCCATACTGGGAGGAGGTGTGTCACCGGGGGGCCGGGATATGTCCGTGGGGACATTCGGCAAGCGAGGAGGGGGGCAGTCGCTGAGAGGTGTAGTGTCGTAGTCATGGTCAGTGTCACAGTAGTGGGGCTGGTACTGAGGTATTTGACTCGGTGGCTTATAACAGTCCAGCAGCTTGACACGGTAGGATGTGCTGTGAAGTTGAGAGCCAACAAACTTCTTGATGTTGCACCAAGCGCCGTCAACAGAAACAACAAGATATCTCTTATACCATACGACTTAGTACCGTCAGAATGCAGGTAAACCAGATCACCGACAGTGATGTTAGATGTAGGCATTGTTTTCATCAGCGGGTTCTTGGAGTTTTCACTATGGGGATGGTTCAACTGTCTGCTTTCATGCTGTTTGATGATGAATTCCATATCAGATATGGGAAGTTGAGACTGAGTGAACTGGTCCCTTTGTGTGAGCATCTCCCTAGCTGACAAACCTTGAGAGCGAATGCGCGAGTTCAACCGTGCTATGGCTGTGGCCAGAGACAGGGGGGTAGTGGCACCACCAACAGGGTCTTGAGACAACAGTTCTTTTTCTACCTCCTGGATCGCTCTCTCCGCCACAGGTTTTTTGTTACGATTCTTGGTTCTTCCTACCTCAAAACAAAGATTGTGTTTTTTGAGTAGGGGGTCGTTCGTTAGAGTCACAAACCCAGGAGCAGGATCCACTCTCACTACACTAGGGGGGCCAGCAAGAGGTTTCAACTGAATGCACAGCTGGATGAGAGCATTTCGCAGGGATTCATGGCGCTCGTCTTGTATGAGGCAAGCAGCGGTGTAGGAGGTTACATATTCATGCAGAACAAGAACAAGTTGCCTCTCCCTTTTCATTACATCAGCTGCAAAAGAAGACCGATAGATTCTTGAGGATGACCTGTAGACTGTTGCTCCAACGTGTGAGGAATCCTTGCGAGAGAAGAGCACACATGACATGAGGTGGTGGTGAGCTCGACAGCTTTGTCCAAGTCTAGGGCAAAGAAGTATCTGTGCATGACAAGTTTAAGCTGGTGGCATGACAGATGGTCAAGTTGGAGGTGTAGGGCTGTCACAAGGCCGTCAAGTACATCGCGAGGCACTACGATACGCTCACTAGTGGGAGCCAAGGGCTCATTCTGTTGCACAATTAATAACCCAACCCGAGCAATAGTTACCACGTTTAAGTAGTGCTTAATGTTCTTGACATCAGTCTGCTTCCTGGATGGTCGAGTTCCTTGTGCTAGGTGAGAGTGTACACGTCAGAGATCATGATTCTCTGACTGAATGGCATGCCATGCCGCTCTGTTTGTGTAGGGCAGTTTAGAGTCCCCATTGACAATATTCTGGGCAGATACTTTCAACACGGTGGCTTCCTCAGAATTTCTAATGAACGTACACACTTGGCAAAGTTCGTCCTTGCATTCAGCAGCATTTCTACAGGCGAAGTCTGAAGGGATGTTGGCACTACCAGATAGATGGCGGAAGGAGGCTTGATAACGGCTTACTGTTGAGAGAAAAGTCGATACACGTGGGCTGGCTGAAAACGCACCAAGACACAATTTCTCATATGCTTGGATGCAGGGTTTGCTGTCGGTGAGTATACAAGCCTTGTGTTTGGACTGGATGAGTTACGGTGAGAAGTGTTTAGTTGCTACACCTATGGCGAGAGCTTCAATCTCACAAGGTAGCCAAATTATCTGTCGGCCGTGGAGCTTGGCACTGAAGAAACCAGCGACTCTTGGCTTATCCTGTCTTGTCACATATAGTGTGGCACCGATCCCATTACACTTCACTGAAGTTATTGTTCCCGTGGAGTTGAGAGCAGCCTTAGCAGCTGTAAAGGTGTCCAAGAGGATATCCGTCCATGCAACTTTGTCTTGCGACTGTTTGCCTGCCTGGGCATTATCCAAAAGTGCGATGTACAATGCACAGTTAAGAAGGATACGTCGTACGCTATGATGGGCGGCATCAGAGTCCTTAATCCCATATGTGAAGGATGATCCGTCTCCGAGGATGATCTGTTGGGTGGCAGGTCGAGCATAAACATCATTTTGTTCCATAAAGGGAATACCGGCGATAATGTCCACATCAAGATCCTCAACCAGAAGCCTTTTCACACACACACTCCCTGCTATCACGGACTGTAATGAACCTGGTTTCTCCGACGACTTTGAGAGGAGATGGACCGTCAGCATGGCGTACTGACTGTGTACTTGTCATGATGTCAACGTCAAGCATCTTCGCAGCGGAGAGCCGGATCATGTGGCACCACTGTCCAATGTGAAATGAGCCACGCGATGACCATAGAAGGCAGTCATGTGTGGAGACTGTCGGACCTGTACACGTCGAGTGCTGATAGGTTCCTCGGGAGAGACAGAAGGGATATCCTGTCCTGGGGAAGCATAGGTAGATGGCAAAATGTCAGTTGGCATGTTTGAGCCACGAATGTCAATCTCATCATCATCGATGATATGTGCCATTTGACGTGCCTTAGCAATGTAACGTCTGTCCTGGGCGGGAAGGTGCGTTACACTGGCTCAGAAAATGGTTCTTGTTAGGTGGCAGCGTCCCGCCTGTTGGCCCAAAGGGGCACACTTTAGAGAGGAGTATTCTTCTTAGGAAATGCTGTGTGACGGGTAGGGAGGGTCTGTTCATGATTATATCTAGAAGTGGCAGCTCTCATAACTTTAACCTCTCCAGAAGTACGGACCTCATCCAACAGTGAAGGGAGTGCCTCAGATATTTCTGGTTTGATGGAGGCTAAAGTTCTTGATAAGTAATTCGGTTGCCATACCTTTGTTTCACCAATTTCGGCAAATCTTGGTGGAGCAAAGCTTAACTCAAAACCAAAGTTTGGAGTGTGGGGGTCATATCTTCTTCTTGGTCTATGTCAAGCACCACTGCTTTGGTGCACTGGTGCACGATGTGTTTTAGCCATTGTGTCGGCGGTTAATTGAGGTCTTGATATCTTGACTGTTCACTTATATTGTGAGGTACCTCTGAAGATGTGGATAAGATCAGAGCTGCCACCACGCCAGGAGGAAGCACACACAGTCAAAGCTTTCTTGAAATTTGGAAAAGGACAGAAATGTTGCAGTTGAACATGAAATAGAAAAAGTGATAATTGAAGTGTTGTTTTCCGGGACAAGTTCTGTAACGAATCGATGTATGCATACTTCACACGGACGCAACAGTAATAACATTCTCTGCACCCCTATTTAATGAAGATAACCCGATCTGCCGTTTGTGCCATTTGACCTCCCGGGTCATGCATATGTAGAGTAGGTCAGGTCAAGCTGAACAAACTGTAGACTTACTACCTACCCACACAAATCGTAAACAACTGAGAAATATTAACCATGTTAGCAGTGAATTCTTGATACTTCTAAAATGTATCATTGCTGATGAAACATGTTACTGATCATGCTGATGTATGTAAATATTCGATAAATTAGTTAATGAATAACATGTAATGTTTGAAAGATGCCACTAAAATGGATTGGATGGTCTGACATGTTTGACTTCATTAATGCTTGTACCCAATAGTTTTTACTGAATCTCATTTAAGTCCCTTGGTCCTGATCCACAAAGCGTTAGTAGTGCTACATTTGTGACTATGTTAGCCTATGATAAAATAAAGAGTTACGACAGCTTTGTGGATAGGAACCCTGGTTTCTCTGTCCAAATATGTGGGTACATAGTGGTGAGATATGGCAGAAAAATCGTGACTCAGCATGAAAAAACCCATTCATTCACTCTAATGATCATGAATAACATATATTTCTTTTTCACAGGATAAAACCTTTGGGTTGAAGAACAAGAAAGGAGCAAAGCAGCAGAGGTTTATTACACAAGTAGAAAAACAAGTGAAGTTTGGCAACCAGAAGTCCAGCAAGGTGGGTGTAAGGAGAGAGGCGAACAAGGGATTGATGAAAAGTGTTTCATACTCATAGCTTCTATTTTTGAGGCCCATTTCTGGTGTCCCCATCCGTGAATATTGCTAAAAGCGGCTTAAAACCAAACTCAGTCAGTCAGTCTATTTTTGAGTAGTGTTGCCTAAGGCTGTAACGATTCACTCGCATATTCGGTGAATCGATCAGTAGCCCTTCATGAATTCAATTCGTTATTCGTGGTCACCAGAACCGAATATTAACGAATATTTACGATTTTTTTAAGGGAGCATGTTTTACTTGACGCCCTTGTCTACTTTTGGAAAGTGAGATATGCAAGGATTGAATATGTACTAGCATTGCAGTAGCGCAAGTCATGTTAGTCTGCCAAGGCCGCACATGGTACTGTCGACTATAACTATTACATACCAAATTTGAGTGTCATGAGATCACTGGTTAATGCTGTGACAAATCAAAACTGTCAACATGGGTGTTCCATATTGTACATCAATCACTTAACTACAATATTGTATTCGTAAATAATTATTCGTATTCGTTACCCAATATTCATGATACGTATCATATTCGCCACATAGTGTATTCGTTGCAGCCCTAGACTGTCGCCTTGAAATATATTTTTGGTCTTGAACAGCATAAGAGGCTATAATTCTTCTGAACTGAATATTTGTCATTGTTTTACTTCATCTGAAATAGTTTCATCATTAACATTATGATAATTTGATCAGACAAAATGTATGTTGTATTGTATTCCTCTTCTTTTGCTAAATACACTGTGTTTTACAGAATGTATTTGGTTTCACTGACAGTACAAAATGTGTAAGGTCTTTGGCAACAAGTTGTCACAGTGAAGTTTCAGATAAATAAGTAGTATGTTATTTTATCCATAGAAGTAATCATGTACAATAATTTCCCAATATTTACATACATGTTTGTCCGCATTTGTCACTGCTCATTTGCCAATTGGTGCTATGTGATGTCACAGAGCTTCATTGTTGAGAAAAATGTGATGTGACGGCATCCATTGTTCATAAAATCCCTATCCGTGAAGATCCGGGTTAGAGTTTGTTTTCATTAACCCATGCTTGTCACCAAAGGCACCTGACCACCATTGGGTGGTCAGGCTCGCTGACTTGGTTGACACGTTATCTTATCCCAATTGCGTAGATCGATGCTCATGCTGTTGATCACTGGATTGTATGGTCCAGACTCAGTTATGTACATACTGCCGCCATATAACTGGAATATTGCTGAGTGCTGCATAAAACAACAAACCGAACAAAAATTGTAAAATCCCAAATTCATCTGAACAATATGCTGCCTTCAGTAAAGTGTCTCTACTGGGTTGACATTTAATAATTTTGGATTTGATACTTTTTTCTTATTATTATTTGATATTTTGTGTTTCATTTTGACATCTTTTCTCCTATGATACATACAGGCACAATCTCAGTTGGAAACTGATCGTAACAAGAAGAAAGATGACAAAAAGAAGGAACTGGATGAACTGAATGCTCTATTTAGACCTGTAGCTCAAACAGTCAATCGAGGTGAGTAGACACATACAGAAGCATGGGAACACTGAATTGTGTTAGGTTTATTTTCCAGCTGTTTTTGTGTGAAATAGACTTCTATTCAAGTATTGGACTGGTTTGTTATCCCCCGCCGCGCGTGAAGCGGGGGATATAGTATTAGGCTCCATCCGTCTGTCCTGTATGTATGTACGTACGTACAAATTACAATATCTTAAGAACCGTTGACTAGATTCTTTTCATATTTGGTACCTAGGTTCATCACAGTATAAGAGAGGTCCCAGTCAGTTTTGGTGACCTTGACCTTCATTTCAAGGTCACAAGGGGACTTTAACGTTTTACTCTTGTCAGCGAGATATCTCAAGAACTGCTCACTAGATTTTCTTCATATTCAACTACAAGGGAAGGCGCAGGGCCCAGTCGATTTTGGTGACCTTCACTTAATTTTCAAGGTCACAGCGACACTTTGAAGATTTCAGCATGTTAAATTGCATGTTAAGATAGTCAGCAAGATATCGCAAAAAACATTCACTGGATTTTTTTCATATTTGACACCAAGCTTTTGGTGACCTTCACATAATTTTTGAGGTGACTGCTTTACTTTGAAGATTTCAGCATGTTAACCTGAATTCACTGGATTTTCTTCATAGACTTAAAGACTTCCCTTGAATGTTTTTCAATAAGCAATTTCTTTAGGACCATTTTTGCATATTTCATACACTATGACATTCATGTCAAGGTCAAAGTCAGTCTTGAAAATATTTGTATGTTTGAACAACTAAAGAAAAGATATCAAGAGAAATTGACTGGTCATGTTTTTGTTGACAATTAACTTCATCTTAAACTTTCATTACTTTTTAAGTTTGATTTGATAATTTGTGGCAGGGGATTATGTCACCTTAGTGACAATGCTTGTTTTTTAAGAAAACGTGATAGCAGATGCTATGCACTTGTACAAGTTTTCAAAGTTTTGATATGTGTGTAATTTTGTTGTGATGTGAGCATATGAGTAAAATAGTATACTTTTAATGTTATACCTTTAATACTAAAGGACCAAGTCAAAGTTTTGAGACATTTGACTTTTCATTAGTTGACAAACGTTGTGGATACAATAATCATATGGTGAACAGACAGAAAAAGCACTGTAATGTGGTTTTAAAATCTGAGGCAGAAGCAGGCACAGTGGCTGCTGTCCCATTTGTTATCCCCCCGGCATGTAATGCGGGGGGATATAGTCAACGCCTCATCCGTCTGTCTGTAATCATTTTGTTTCCGGAGCATAACTCTCCAAAATGTTCCATATGTTTCTGCAAAACTTTGTAGATATATCAAACAGAACCTAAAGTGGTGCCTTTTGCTATTTACAGACTTTTGTGATTTATTATTTTCTCGGTTTCCATGGAAACGATTCAGACTTAGTCTCAAAAGGGAGGGGTGGGTTTCGTTTCTGGAGCACAACTCAAAACTTCTTTATATCATTGAGCAAAACTTGGCAGAAATGTGAGGCAGATCCCAATTTGGCACCTTTTGCTATTTGCAGATTTTTGTCACTTGTATTTTTCCCAGTTTACATGGAAATGATTTGGACTTAGGGAGGGGTGGGTTCTTTACCCAGAGCACAACTCGAAAATGGTTCAATATCTTCCAACAGAACTTTGCAGATATATGAGACAGATGACTTGAAGTGGTGCCTTTTGCTATTTACAGATTTTGGCATTTATATTTTTCATGATTTCCATGGAAACGATTTGGATTTAGTCTAAAGAAAAATCAAGCTGGACTTTAAGTACCTGTCAGATGATTTGTTCTTTCAAATATATGGGGGTCAGGGGCATATGTCATCTTCTGATGGCTCTTGTTTTTAAAGGGGAGGTGGGGTAGCCCAGTGGTTAAAGTGTTCGCTCGTCATGGCGAAGACCCGGGTTCGATTCCCCACATGGGTACAATGTGTGAAGCCCATTTCTGGTGTCCCGTGTCGTGATATTGCTAGAATATTACTAAAAGTGGTGTATAAACTAAACTCACTCATTCTTTTTCTTTACAAATGCATATTTGTTACAGGTGTGGACCCTAAGTCTGTGCTGTGTGCCTTTTTCAAGCAGGGACAGTGCGGAAAGGGAGACAAGTGCAAGTTCTCCCATGACCTCAACATCAATCGAAAGGGAGAGAAGAGAAATCTATACGAAGATGTTCGGGCTGAAGAGGGTTAGTAAAACATGATCTAGCAGACATTTTCTACTTGGTAGCTGTGAACTGTTGCTCATGACATACAAGGCATGGGGTTATTTTCTCTAATAAATTGAACTAATGATGCTTTCTTTTTTATCCCCCCGGCATGTAATGCGGGGGGATATAGTCGACACCTTGTCCGTCTGTCTGTCCGTCCATCCATAATCATTTTGTTTCCGGAGCACAACTCGAAAACCGTTCAATATCTTTCTTCAAGACTTGGTAGATATATCAAACATAGCTAAAGTGGTGCCTTTTGCTATTTACAGATTTTTGGCATTTTTAATTTTCTTGGTTTCCATGGAAACGTTTCGTACTTAGTCTCAAAAAGGAGGGATTGGTTTCGTTTCTGGAGCAGAACTCAAAAACCGTTCAATATTTTTCGACAAAACTTTGGAGATATATCATACAGATGCTAAAGTGGTGCCTTTTGCTATTTACTGATTTTTGTGAGTTATTATTTTCTCAGTTTCCATGGAAACATTTCGGACATAGTCTTAAAAGAGAGGGGTGAGCTTCGTTTCCTGATCACAACTCGAAAACCGTTAAATATCTTTCTGCAAGACTTGGTAGATATATCAAACAGAACCTGAAGTGGTGCCTTTTGCTATTTGCAGATTTTTGGCATTTTTATTTTTCTTGGTTTCCATGGAAACGTTTTGTACTTAGTCTCAAAAAGGAGGGATTGGTTTCGTTTCTGGAGCAGAACTCAAAAACCGTTCAATATTTTTCAACAAAACTTTTGAGATATATCATACAGATGCTAAAGTGGTGCCTTTTGCTATTTACTGATTTTTGTGAGTTATTATTTTTTCATGATTTCCATGGAAACATTTCGGACATAGCCTTAAAAGAGAGGGGTGAGCTTCGTTTCCTGATCACAACTCGAAAACCGTTAAATATCTTTCTGCAAGACTTGGTAGATATATCAAACAGAACCTGAAGTGGTGCCTTTTGCTATTTGCAGATTTTGGCATTTTAATTTTTCATGATTTCCATGGAAACGATTCGGACTTAGTCTCAAAAGGGAGGGGTGGGTTTCGTTCCGGATCACAACTCGAAAACCGTTCAATATCTTTCTACAAGACTTGACAGATATATCAAACAGATCTTGAAGTATTGCCTTTTGCTATTTGCAGATTTTTGGCATTTTTATTTTTCATGGTTTCCATGGAAACAATTTGGACTTAGTCATGACAAATGTTTTCTGGTTGTTTTTGTCTGTTTCACTGATCAGTCTGAGAGCTCTTGGTGACCTTGGGTCTATTGAAGGTTTACAGTATGATTTGTTGCTTCCAGACACCATGGCTGACTGGGATGAAGCCAAACTGGAAGAAGTTATCAACAAAAAACACGGAAAGGAATCCCAAAACAAAACTACTATTGTAAGTTGTCTTTCAATACCTGTGATAATCATATCTGAAAACTTACTGTTTTAATTATCATGGCTAAATGTATTTAGGTATGTGCAGGTAAAATTATCTCCTGCTTACTTGGACACTCTGAAGACTGTTTCCTGAACGCTTGAATATTTTGTTGCTGTTGATCACTGGATTGTCTGGTCCAGACTCGATTATTTACAGACTGCTGTCATATCGCTAGAATATTGAAGAGAGCAGCGTAAAATTAAGCTCACTCACTCACACACTTGATATGATGCTGTGGTTTCTGCTGTCTCTCTGTGTTTACACTGTGCGTACTTTGTGGCAGATATGCAAGTTCTTCCTGGAGGCTGTGGAAAACAGCAAATACGGCTGGTTCTGGACCTGTCCCAACGGTGGAGACAACTGCATGTACCGTCATGCTCTACCCCCAGGTAATGCCCCTCCCCAGATTATTCTTCACCTCAGATTATGCCTCACCCCCAGTTAGTGCCCCATCCCAGGTAATGCCCACACCCAGGAAATATTAGCCTTATATATTCAGATCCTGACAAATGTTATCACAATTTGTTGTACAGAGTTGCCTCCCTTTGTCAGTATGGCCGGTTCTGCTCTACTCCAGGCATCTAAGTATTAAACATTGAATCCCGCAACATTAATTGTCATTCAGAGGTTTGCCAGTCACTTAGACAAGTATTTATGTCAAGCTAGACACCTGGATGACACCTGCCAACATGACACCTGCAGAATAGAGGTAGACACCTGGATGAATGATGTCTGTCGCCACAATTAGCACAGCTGGTGTTAGCACAGCTATTGTGAATCCAAGACATCACTGCTAGTGTTCCATCAGGCACTGTGTTATCCCTCATAGCTTTGCTAGTACTGAAAAATTACGCTATGGAGTAAAAGTCGAAGGCCTCGCCGTCTTCAACCTTATAACACAGGCCTACGATTTCTTATTCGTTCTTCGGTTCATAATGACGAAAAACAATAAGAATATGAAACTGTCATTATTTGATTGTTTTTATTATAACTAAATATCAGCAGCATTGTGATTCATCTGACATGTCAGTGATGAGCAGTCTTGTTATATCCAGCTAAGCCATCTTTGATACCCAAATTTTGTAGAAGTGTATCAATGTGCACACACATAAGGGAGGCAACTGAGAATATACGTCATATCTTTGTGGATTTGCATTTCGAATTCACTAGCATTTGGAAGGTGTTTGGCAAGTATATGACATTAAAAACATGATAAAAATAAACTAATTGAATAGATCGATGCACATGATGTTGATCACTTTATTGTCTGGTGCAGACGTGATTATTTACATCCAGTGCAATGTGGCTGGAATATTGCTGAGGGAGATTTTTGGTTCAGAATCAGATTTTGTTCACATTTTATGTGTATTTAAGTTTAAAGATGTGAATATCTGGACAGGATGGTTTCGTGACATACTCATCCTTATGTTTCAGGTTTTGTGTTAAAGAAAGACCAGAAAAAGGAGGAAAAGAAGGAGAAAATTACGATAGAGGAGCTCGTCGAGAAAGAGGTACAATACTGGAAGAATGTGTCAACTATTTTTAAAATAATGCACAGTCAGCTGGTTTCTGCCAAGGCTCAAACCTACTATAAAACAGTATCTTAAAGTCATGAACATAAAGAACATAGATAGTGATGTATGTTGATGATGAACTTTAGTAGGCACATGGGACTGACTGACTGACTGAGTTTGGTTTTACGCCGCTTTTAGCAATATTCCAGCAATATCACAGCGGGGGACACCAGAAATGGGTTTCACACAATGTACCCATGTGGGGATTCGAACCCGGGTCTTCGACGTGATGAGCCAAAGCTTTGACCACTAGGCTACCCAACCGCCCCAGGCACATGGGAAACAGTGGGAATTGGAAACAGTCGAATATTTCTGAATAAAAACTTTCTATATTCTATAGTACTGAACTCGTGCCTCTTAATGAATTAAGAAGTGCTATGTCGCTAATTTTCCTTGATAATTCTAAAATGACCTTCTAAAATTTTCTGAATGCATAGCTTATCACAAAGAAATGTATGATCAGCAACGTGTCCACCACTCAATAAAGGAAGGTTGGAATTCTGACCTATAGCTTAAATTTGTCTGTTGAATTGAAACATTTACTATTCTGTATTGCAGCGAGCAGCCCTGGGCCACAACACAACCAAAGTTACATTAGAAACTTTCCTTAAATGGAAGGAGAGGAAGGTATGTGGAATAATATCCTCTGTTGTCATATGTTATTAAGAAGATGTGGGTTCAAAGTAACTATATCTTCAGTAATAATATCGTCAGTAATGCCTTCAGTAATGATATCACCAGTACTGATATCTTCCGATCCCCGGCCGCATCATACCAAAAGATGTTAACATATGGTACTTGTAGTCCACTGCCTGGCGCTCGGCATTATGGGTAAAACAAGGACTGGTCGGCTCGGAGTCAGTATAATGTGTCTGAGTGGGGTATTCATGCATAACTGCGGCATGGTATCTCAGTGAGCTAGCACTATAAAACCAGCTTAAGTCTGGGCTAGTACAAGCAGCCACACATACACATGCATGCGTGTCATCATATGAGCAAAATATTCTTAAGTATGACGTTAAACCCCATTTCACGTAACCCCTGATGCCTTCAGTAATGATGTGGTTGGTGGGGATGTCCTAGGTCTATATTCTCAATATTATCCTCTGTAATGATATGCTCAGCTGATATATTCTGTAATGATATCCTTGGGAATATTATTATTTTTCCTTATCCTGACTCATGCTCTTTTTGCTTGTCTTCTTCTTCTTGCGAACATAGTGGAACACTTGTATCTCCCTAATTGAAGCTCCCTTCAATTTAAAATCACTAATTAGTATTCACCACGAGTTACCTCCTTTCCACAAGCGCGGGAACGAGGGCGCCACTTCTACCCATGTGCCTCACTCTCTCCTTCTTCGCCCAGTGAGCTGGACGTGAGAGCGCCTGTGTCTCCCGACACACTATATCCTTTGAATTATATTTAGTTAGTTACCTCGTATAGACATCTATAGAGGTTTAGCTAGTATCCTTCAGCGATTATATATTGATATTTAGTCGTTTTTTCACACAGTTTATTCACGGGGGGCCGTGTTTGTTTCAGTGGATTCACGTTGATGAAAATTCTGTACTATTGCAGATTACGTTTTATGCTGCTGCTGATCCGCCTTTAATATGATAATGCTGTAGCCATGTTTATTATATTCACATTGCAGTTCGCGGTACTAATTTATCCAATTCTACCTTTTTATTAATATTTACTGCGTTGCTTGGCGCTACAGCAGATAGAGTGGCGTATGCAGAGTCTAGTATGACTGATACACGGAACCCTGCAGCCAGTCTACTGCTGTTGGCGACTCCCCTCCCGTGTGGTGTTCGCTAGAGTGGTGGAGAGGTGTGGGCGTAGTCCGCCATCTCAAGAAGCATCCTGCTTCCCCAGACATCCATCGTCGCAGCAGAAGACTAGAGGGTTTTCTACTACATCTCAACCGAGACCCGTTCCCATCGAAGTTTTGGGCCTGTATGATGATCAGCCGGTCATCATACGGATGTACATCAAAGATTGACCGATGTCGGCACAGATCAGCATGCAGCCTGATGTACCAACGCAGATATCGATGATGCGTCCTGAGGGTCCCATCATTACCAACACTCAGCATAGGCGTCGCACACCCAGGGCAGCGTCGACCTCTGAGGAAAATCAACGAAGTCTACTAGGACTTTCTCAGCGAGATTGTTCCAGCCGATGACCTGGACCTCTCTACGATGATCAGCTGATCATCATCCCGGCACGTCGCTTACAAGAAAAGCGACCGGGGACAGCTACAACGACATCAGCAGAGATCACCATGCAGCCTGATGCCTCTACACTGATGTCGGACGATTTTCCGGTGGACCCCTCCATTAACACCGCCCAGATAAAGCACCGGCGACCTCGTGCCAGACCATCCCAGAAGACATGATGCGACAAATTATGAACATCATGGAGGACCAATATCTGCGGTAGCAGGAGTCGAAGCAGCGAAGGCTCCAAGCGTGGTGAACAGCACCCCAGAGGCACCCCGTCAACGTAGCAGCCAGGGCCGATGTCACCTTCGCGAAGGAAGTCACGGACCACCTTGGATTGAAGGACCTAGATGTACAGCCCAGCGAAGGCGGAAAGAACCTAGATGTACAGCCTTCGCTGAAGGACTTCGCGAAGGCAGGATCATCACCTTATGCGGTTTCATCCCTAGTTGTGGACTCGGACCATCAGACATCACGGAAGCTAACCAGCGAAGGTCATATCGTCGTTCCCGGACCGGACGCAGAGGAAGCCTTCGAAGGCATGCGCGAAGGACACCTGAATCAGATCATCATCATCTAGAAGGACATCGAGGGACTATACAAGAGCTTCAGCGAAACTATCAACGTTCCCCTCACAAGTCTCGAGAAGATCAACCCATAGACAAGTTGATCATCGATATCAAGTATAAGAACTACAATCGTATATTGGTTCTGTTGAATCCATGGCGAAGCGTATGTTGGCTGGCCTAAATAGATCTAGAACGATCAATTAGACACTTATCACCAGACTTAGTAACCGCGACTTCTGAATATGATAAGATGATCCATGCGGCCCTCTTAGGCAAGCTTTGCCGATCCACATCCTGTTAAACACAGAGGCTGTTCAAGCAAAGCTCATATATATATTTATATATATATATATATACTAATCGGGCTTTGACTTCGACACCTTAGCGATGGTGGTCGCGAGGCTAAGAAATAAACTCAAGTCTACTTCACCCAGAAGATCTAGAAGGGATACTTGAGAACTTCAAGCGAAGTCTCAGGTTCACCGAGAAGTCTCCTCAAAGGTTTCCATATACTAGCCACTTTCGTCATATATAGCTACTTTCGTCCAGTCCGTTCAAGGCGTCGCATAAGTTGATTATCAACTGTATGCCAGATGCCGTCTATAAGCCTCTGTGAAGATAATTGCTCAGGCTATTTACAACACAGAGCGTCGCTGTATTATTAGTCAGCGACATTTCATAGATCTTCACAGAAATCAACTATTCATTATAAATTGCTTATATACAATCCCGGACGGCGATACGATTATCTACATGCGTGACCATTACGCATATCTGCAGACAATTCAATATCGAAATTGAACAGCAGCCTTGTTACAGCGAGTATAACTCTTAATCGTCAAAGTTTCTGAAGAAATATGTACAACAAGTTCAGCGTTAATTCTACAATTATGGCGATACATTCATGTATACAGTCTACAAGCTCACAACTTGCAAGTTGTTTATACCCTTATATATAGGGAGTTGAATTATATTCAAAACTGAAATTACTTTCCACGACAACCAGGAAAATAACCTACCCAGCATAAAATTACAGGCGAGATATTTCGCGGAGGTTCAGCGGTTACCATTAACCCTCGAAACCGTGGTCCCTTTCGGATAACTTCCGGAAGCTACGGTGAAGACCGGCGTTTATGCTAATATCAACGAGCGACAAAATTTATTCAAGGTGGGTTTTTCCGCTACACGGTGACATCACAGGCGGGTATTATACAGAATCAAAATGCCTTGTTCTGATTGGACCGCTGAGGGACTAACGACCTACACAGAGGTCGATCTCTATTCACAGTTCAAGACTTACGTCACAAGTGACAACAATATATCAGTGAGCGAGAGCAAGCCTCATTACAGTCCAGTTAACCTGAACATTCAATGATTAGACTGCCTTTCTTCAAGTTAGAGACCTCCCCTGTCAAGTTAAGGCGAGGATGCGGCAGTCGAAAGCGATTTTACATAAAGTTCAAGCGAGGACAGACACACCTGGTTGTGCACCTACATCGTCAAAGGACTTATGGCGAATTACCTAGGCGAAAGATACAAGTGGATCTAAATCCACAGCGTTTCCAGACTACAGCTGAATTTCATCAGCGACTAACACAACTAGATGGTTAGTAAACCTACTAAACTTCTGTTTGGAGAATAAGCGGAAATTTCCGCCAAACCTGGGGATATGAATATAGTGCTCCAACACCTCACAAGTGAGGTTTATGAACAACGCCTGGATGACATACTTGGACCCCATGATCGATGATTCTATCAAGATGGCCAGCAAGAGCACTGTAAATTTATCTCCACCAAACCAAACAGGAGGAAAAAATGCAACAGATTATTTCCTCTATCATCAACTTACACATGAGTGAAGTCTCATGTACTATATCTCCATTTGGATCAGAACTGTCATACTACGTGCATATCGCGGATGGACCTATTCCGACCCTCCATGAGCTTAATACTCATGATATTATAATAGCTAACTTCTACAATTGTCCTACACAAATGTGATTGAAATAATGGAGGGTTTATTTCTGGAAATCCGATATGGTGGTTGCAAACCATTATCTGAGAGATATCACCACCGAGGGCGTCTCAGGTATACACCAATTGATCCCATGGTCCTCGCATACAACAGCTGACAGTTCCTCGGAGAAGATAAGTCAATCTAACAGATTTTACTTATCTTATAACAATACTAAATAGCTTCATGCTATATATAATTTACTTAAGTTCCTTTTATCATCACAGTACTATGATTATTACATCATACAATATATAAGTTAACAACTCTACAGAGTTTGTTATTATATATATTTACCTTAAGTTATTCATATCTTAAGAGTAATACTATGGTTACATGATAAATGCATTGGCTAACAAACTCTACAGAGTTTTTGGCTATTTTATACATAGCTTAAGTTAATTAAGCTAACAAACTCTGAGTTTTACTATTATATAGGTAACTTAAGCTAATTATACCTTAAGCATAGTACTATACTCATATTATTAAAATATATTGGCTAACAAACTCTAAGGAGTTTGCTATTATATAGGTAGCTTAAGCTTATTCATATCTTAAGCTTAGTACTATGTTTATATCATATAAGTAGATTAGCTAACAAACTCTAAAGAGTTTTTTTGCTATTTGGCTTAAGTATCATCATATTTCTAAGCAATATGGTTATATTATAACATGTATTAGCTAACAAACTCTACAGAGTTTTAGCTATTATATATGTAACTTAAGCTTATTCATATCTTAAGCATGGTACTATGTTTATATCATATAGGTATATTGGCTATCAAAACTCTAAAAAGAGGGTTTTGCTATTATATATTTAAGCTTAAGTTTCATCATATTTTAAGCTTTATGGTTACATTATAACATGTATTAGCTAACAAACTCTCACGGAGTTCTTGCTATTATATATGTAGCAAGTTTTCCTTCATAAGCTCAATACTAGGTTTATATCATAGCTAACAAACTCTAAAGGGTTGTTTTCGGCTATTATACAATTAGCTTAAGTTTTCATCATATCTTAAGCAGTATGTTTACATTATAAAGGTATTAGCTAACAAACCTCGGCGGAGTTTTGTTATTATATATATATAGCTTAAGTTTCATCATAACTTAAGCTCAGTACTATGTTTTTAACATAAAAAGTATATTAATTTTGCTATATACATTTAGCTTAAGTCTAATCTTATCTTAAGCTTAGTACTATGTTTACACTATAAACATATTAGCTAATAAACTCTACAGAGTTTTTTGGCTATTATATATGTAGCTTAAGTTAATAATATCTTAAGCACAATACTATACTCATATTGTAAAATATATTAGCTAACAAACTCTCACGGAGTTCTGCTATTATATATGTAGCTTAAGTTCATTATATCTTAAGCACACTACTATACTCATATTGTAAAATATATTAGCTAACAAACTCACGGAGTTTTGCTATTATATATGTAGCTTAAGTTAATTATATCTTAAGCACACTACTATACTCATATTGTAAAAATATATTAGCTAACAAAACCCTACAGAGTTTTGCTATATATATGTAGCTTAAGTTAATTATATCTTAAGCTCAGTACTATACTAATATTATAAATATATATTAGCTAACAAACTCTACAGAGTTTGGCTATTATATATGTAGCTTAAGTTAATTATAGCTTAAGCACAAAGTACTATACTCATATTATAAAAATATATTAGCTAACAAACTCTACAGAGTTTGGCTATTATATATGTAGCTTAAGTTAATTATAGCTTAAGCACAGTACTATACTCATATTATAAAAATATATTAGCTAACAAACTCTACAGAGTTTTGCTATTATATATGTAGCTAAAGCTTATTCATATCTTAAGCTCAGCATTATATCTATATCATACAAGTATATTAACTAACAAACTCTAAAGAGTTTGCTATTATATAATTAGCTTAAGTTTAATCATATCTTAAGCTTAGTACTATGTTATATCTTAAAAGTATTTTAGCTAACAAACTCTAAGGAGTTTATACTAGCATATTAACAAGCTTAAGTCTATTAGTCTTAAGCATTGTATTAATGTTATATATACTTTATCATAATAAGTACATGGTAATAACCTTTTTATATGGCAGCTGATAAGTTAGCAGCAGGAATTCATCAGTTCAGTGCCTTTATGAAGTTCCCATAGGGTTATTACAATCATCACAGTTCAAATCACTAATTATTAAAATCCAAAGTATTAGATATTCCCACCTCCGTTCCGTAGGATGCTACAAGCAAAAGAGCATGAGTCAGGATAAGGAAAATATGTAATTTTTGGAGTAAAATTGATATTTTATACTTATCCTGACTCATGAGGTCAGCCCTCCCATCCTCCCAAATAACACTTTGGATTTCCTGTAAATTCAAATGTTGGGCTCAGTATATGAGGAGAGTGAGGCACATGGGTAGAGGTGAAGCCCTCGTTCAGCTTGTGGAAAGGAGGTAGCTTCGTGGTGAATACTAATTAGTGATTTTAAATTGAAGGGGCTTCAATTAGGGAGATACAAGTGTTCCACTATGTTTGCAAGAAGAAGAAGACAAACAAAAGAGCATGAGTCAGGATAAGTATAAAATATCAATTTTACTCCAAAATGATTTCCTCAATAATGATATCCTCACTAATGATTTCCTCAATAATGATTTCCTCAATAATGATTTCCTCAATAATGATATCCATGGTAATTGTAGTATCAGTAATAAGATTTTGAGTTACCGTATATGACCGACTATAAGTTGGGCCCCTTTCTCAACCCTCTAAGTTCTTGCCAAAACCATGTAACTCAAATATAAGTCGTCCCCTTTCCCCGTATGTATCGGTATTGGGTAGATCAAGGTCGTGACTGTTCAACACTGTAACATGACGAATGTAAACACGTTGCAATTCGATGGTAAATGTTGAAGTTGTAAACAAGTTGAAACTTGTTTATTTTGAGAGCAGATTTCTGATTGGCTAATGATAAAATGAAAGGCCAATCAACAGAAACCTTACATAACCAAGTAAGGTTGTGTTTGTGTGAAATGTTTTTCGACTTTGTTTAAAAAGTGAGCGTGTGTGTAAAGACCAACTATCATTGAAAACACATCATATAAATGTTACTACATTCAAATATGTTTGATGCGAAAAATATGATATGTAAATATTTCTGTAAATGTGCTTCAAAATGATATTTTGTATCAAAAACTGTTCAGTTGGGAACAGGCATTGTGTGGGATGCCTTGAGCGAACGCTACTGTACTGATTCATTTACCGAGACTGATCGAGTGACACAGATATTTGACTTCGATGTAATTTCTTGATTAATATCATCTATAGCATTTATTAAATTATTAACAGTAATTTTCAAAACCATCACACAAAACTGCCACAGAATACAAAGAAGTTTACTTTACTTGAAACTTTCTTTCAAGTGGGTAATCCACGGGACCCAACTTTAATTATCGATTGATAACAAAGTAAGTAGTTGTGACCAAAATATCTTATTAAATTTAATTTAATGTTTATATTATGAAATATATTTTACAAAAGACAAACAACAAAATTTTATGATTTATTTGTCCCACGATGTCATTTACCCTTGGAAACGTCAGTACGTATATGCTTCCTGCTTCCGGTGTAAACATCGCCAGTTGAGTTCGCTGGACTGGCAGATTCACTCACCTGACCTCTGGAAGTTTTGGGGTAGATTAATGAACTCAGTTATAAGTCGGGTCTGATTTTTGAGCTCCTTCTTTTGGTATCCAATCTCCGACTTATAGCCGGTCATATACGGTAGATCTTCTGTAGTGATCTCACAGTCATATCTTTAGCAAGATACATTTTGTTAGAATACCTTTACATATTGATTTTAATCATACTGTTAAAAGAAACTGATGATGAATGAACATATTAATGAATGAACTTGTCTATTCTTTCAATGTGTTCATATCTTGTCTTCATCATACTACAGCTTTTTTATATATTCAGGTATTGTCAGTTGATGGGAAGAATATTATAACGACATGAGAACATTCTTTGATGTCTTTACGTGATGGTATTTTCTTGTTGTAGAGAAGAGAAAAGGTGGCCATCTTGGAAGCCGATCAGGATAAGAAGAAGACTGATTTCAAACAGGGAAAACTGTTTGGGGTGAGTTAAAAGATGTTCATTTAACCAATTGGATTATGTGCCAACAAGGACTGTAGATAATGGTATCAGGTAGTATAAGGCAGCTATGCTATTATAAGCATCTACAGTCATTGATATTCTTGATGAGTTTATGAGTTCCAAATCAAGACCGTTTCTTTAAGTGTTTTGAAGATTTTAATATTGGGACCCTCTCTATCTTTATCTTTTGGGTAATGACAAGGACCTGCTGAATTTCAAGCAGTGTGTTGTGACATTTCATCCGATGCCACTCTGTTATATCCTTGGTGTGCAATGCGTGATACAGTAATCAGCTTATCTGTCTTCCATTCTATTAATGTTTTGATGGTGCCATATCTCAAAAGCTGAAAGGTATTCTGTCACAAAATTTTGTTTTTATAGTTCACAAATTTGGTATACATCACTCTTGTGTGACTTGTTCTAACAAAGATAATTTATCATTTCAAATAATGGGGATTGGTCTCGTTTGGTATAGTTCACAGATATTTGTTTACCAATTTATTTGCAATTAGATATTTGAGTGTTTTGCAATATTTCGTACATTAGTTTGGGTGAAACTTTATCAGCCAATCTAATGGGAGACAAATTGGTGCTGTTTCTTTAAAATGTGCTTACAGTAACATGTGTAATATTTGAGAAATCTTTGTTATCCCCCGCAACGCGTTTTGCGGGGGGTATTAAAATGGACTCCGTCCGTCCGTGCACATTTGTCTTTTCCGGAGCAGAACTCTAAAACTGTTCAATATTTCTTGGATCTGGTGGTGTACTGGTGCCTTTTGGCACTTTTGGAATTCTGAATTAAATATTTTTGGCGTTTCCATGGCAACAAGTTCGACTTTGACTGAAATTAGTGGTAGGGCTCTTTTCCGGAGCAGAACTCTAAAACCGTCCAATATGTCTTCACCAAACTTGGCACATAGATAGATCTGGTGGTGTACTGGTGCCTTTTGGTAGTTTTTGGAATTCTGAATAAAATATTTTTGGCGTTTCCATGGCAACAAGTTCGACTTTGACTGAAATTAGTGGTAGTGCTCTTTTCCGGAGCAGAACTCTGAAACCGTTCAATGTTTCTTTACCAAACTTGGCACATACATGGATTTGGTGGTGTACTGGTGCCTTTTGGTAGTTTTTGAATTCTGAATTAAATATATTTGGCGTTTCCGTGGCAACAAGTTTGACTTTGACTGAAATTAGTGGTAGTGTTCTTTTCCGGAGCAGAACTCTAAAACCTTTCACTATTTCCTCACCAAACTTGGCACATAGATAGATCTGGTGGTGTACTTGTGCCTTTTGGTAGTTTTGGAATTCTGAATAAAATATTTTTGGCATTTCCATGGCAACAAGTTTGACTTAGCCTGAAATTGGTGATAGTGCTCCTTTGTGGAGCAGAACTTTAAAAACTTTTCAATACTCTCCTTCCACTTTTCTATATACACACCTAAATATTTGACATAATCATAACTCGTAGACATAATCATGAAGAGTATTTTGCCATTGCGGGGGATATTGATGACTTTGTCTTCTTGTTCTCAAGGGTTTTGGATTGAAAACTTGTGCATTTATAGAAAGCACTGAATCAATTGTTGTTATCCCCCGCAACACGTTGTGCAGGGGGTATTAAAATGGACTCCATGTGTGCGTGCGTCCGTCCGTGCACATTTGTCTTTTCCGGAGCATAACTCTAAAAGCGTTAAATATTTCTTCACCAAACTTAGCACATAGATGGATCTGGTGGTCTACTGGTGCCTTTTGGTAGTTTTGGATTTCGGAAGAAAATATGTTTTTGCGTTTCCGTGGCAACAAGTTTGACTTAGACTGAAATTGGTGGTAGTACTCTTTTCTGGAGCAGAACTCTAAAACCGTTCAATGTTTCTTCACCAAACTTGGCACATAGATGGATCTGGTGGTGAACTGGTGCCTTTTGGTATTTTTGGATTTCTGAATAAAATAGTTTTTGCGTTTCCGTGGCAACAAGTTTGACTTAGACTGAAATTGGTGGTAGTGCTCTTTTCCGGAGCAGAACTTTGAAACCTTTCAGTACTCTCCTTCCACTTAGCTATATACACGCCATAACATTTGACATAATCATAACTGATAGACTTATTCATGCTGAGTATTTTGCTATTGCAGGGAATATTGATGACTTTGTCTTCTTGTTTAAAATGTTTACAATTCTTTTTGCCATATTTTTGTGCTACTTTTTTCTAATCCATTAAAGCATGTCAAAGAAACAGTCAAACAAAGGAGAATACATTTAAATTATTTTTGTTTAGTCAAGTATGAAAGCAAAAAAATATCTAAGTATGCTGTAAGTCGAGTTTTGACGGTGTGTATATCTGCTCCTTTGCATGTAGCCATGATAGGACTGATATGGCTGGTACTAGGACTGGCACATTTCATAGTTTATGTAGTCAGCTACATTACATTTCAATAGTTCTATTATTCAGCTGGATATGTTATGAAGTATATACATGAAAATGATTTTGATATATAATGTTAAATGGACTGGATTTACTTCTCTTGTTGTTAAAACCCCTTTTCTGTTTCATGTTCAGATCTCAGGTCGTCAGATGTTTGAATTCAATCCTGACCTTGTCCATGAGGATGATGACGATGCAGGTGATGGGGTGTTGATACGAGAAAATAATGAGGAAGAGGTGAGTTAACTCCCTTTGTCAGTCAGACAGTGTCCATGACACAAAGATTGTCAAATCTATTTCATCTTTAAAACTGTCTAACCGTGAAAGTCTGGGTTAGAATTGGTGTTTAGCAACCCATGCTTGTCATAAGAAGCGACTAAGGGGATTGGTGGTTAGGCTGGCTGACTTGGTTGACACGTCATCAAATCCCAATTGCATAAATCGATGCTCATTATCTCGATCACTGGATTGTCTGGTCCATACTCAATTATTTACAGACCATCGCCATATAGCTGGAAAATTGGTTCATGCAAAGTTAAACTACAAATCTTAAATGTCAGTACTATATGTTCAGGAGGTCCCAGTGGTAGATTTGGACGATGGTAATGTCACAGCTATGGCCAAGGAGGCTGATGGGACCGGCACGCAGATGACTGAACAACAGCAGAATGCTCGCATTCAACAAATACAGGAAGATGCCAAAAACACTGTGGAAGAAGGTTTGTTCAGATTTCGATTGTTGTCAACGGGCAGACAATATGTAAGCTATATCACATGGCCTGTGAATGATCAATTATGTGAAGTGTAAGCCAACTCACTGTGGCATTCTCTACAATCAGTTCTAGTGTGTTTGATTGGAATGTAATATACTTCCATAATAGAGGCTAATATGTTTTAAAGGACTGTTTTATGTCATGGTGGGGGCTGTTGGAATGTCCACAGTCTGTACTAGTTTTCTGTCTATATGACATGCAAGAAATTAAATGTACATTTCTGTGGCTGAAATATTGCCCATATGATGTTATTTTAACTTGGTTTATGGGGTAGCCTAGTGGTTAAACCATTTACTTGTTAGGCTATAGACCTGGGTTCGATTCCCCACATGTTACAATGTGTGAAACTCATTTCTGGTGTTCCCCACCTTGGTATTGCTGGGATATTGCTAAAAGCTTACTCTACCCACTTTTATTTGAACACACTTTTCATAAAATTCCTGACATATCAGGATGTTCAGTTCTATTTTTCATTATATTTTATGCATGACATTTGTAACTTTACTGCAGTAAAGAGAGGAAGAGAGTGGGTCATCACAACCATTTGCTTGTAGCTTTAATAGGCTACAGCACTTGTTTACAGTGTAAAGACCATGTATGTTACATTCAGTATGTATGGGAGGTGATCACATGATGTAACATTTAGACCAGTAATTGAATTGAACCAGTAGTGTTCAAATTTTTAACTAATCCTGCACTACTTACTTCCTGCACTTACTGCTTACGACTCGAAACGTGGCTGTGCCAGACGATTGATGTTGAAAGCGTAGACTGCGATCACGTCCTGGTCTCAGGTAAACATCCGTCTGCGCACACATCACCAGAAGGTGACTTCAGCCACCTCTGATTATTGCTTTTCGCACGCCTCGCAAGTAAGTAGTGCAGGATAAGTATACAAATATAAAAAATATTTAGATTTTACTAATATTGTTCTATAATGTTTGAACATGCCCATGTTGATTAAACATTTTTTGAAAATTATTTTATTTTTATTTTATTGGAAGCTTAATTTGTTTGCCTTTTTTAGAAAACTCTGGTCCTTTTTTTCTGACATGATGATGCCTTGATGCGTGAAAGTGTTCTGGTTTACTTGTGGAAAAGCTCAAATTTTAGTGTGATGAAAAACTTGCTTCCTTTGTCTGAGGTTTTATTTAGAAACTTGTTATTTTAAAAATCTTATCCAATAGAGATGAAACAAATTATGATTATTTATTTTCAGAAGAGGGCAAAAAGCTTGATATTGCTGGCGCACTACCAGAGGAAAACGGAGGTAGTGGTGATAATGAGACATCAAGTACTGATGCTGCAATAGCTGCTGCTGTGGCAGCAACAGTCAATGGAGAAATAGCAGACGTACCAATTGATGAAGATTTATTTGCTGGAGATGATATAGATGCTCTAGACGAAGATTTGGACACCTTTAGATTTGAGCGATTAAATAAGACCAAAACGTTTACCTGGACAAATGAGAATGTGTTACTGGTCAGTGAAGAGGAAGGAAATATGGACCTCAGTTTCAATTTGAAGATTTTTCCAAACATTTCTGAGGCTCATTATTTGGAAAAAAAATCTGAGTAGAGATGCCTTGATTGACAACTTGTTGACCTTATAAGGCATTGTTCACAACAAGCTAGTTCTTCAGACTTGTACATAGCATGTTGAAGAGATTTATGAAATGGTTTCAAGGCAGTCTGATCTCAACATTTTATATTATTAACATCTTCAAAACTTTTGAGCTTGTTAATTATGGTATGATGAATATTTGATATGTTAAAATGAAAGTTTCAGTTTGAAAGTAATATCATCAGAATGTTTGATTTAATGGTTTTGTAAATACATTTTGTAAAGATCCTAGTTTTACAAATACTCAGTGATAGGATCGTCTTACATTCAGACTGCCAGTGATTTATATGATGTGTTTGATTGGAAAGTTCATTCTTCGATTCGGCAAATACTTTTAGCATGTGCGCATGAGTGCTACAGATAATACATTTTCTGTGTTGAATAAAATGTCCATGGAAATATGTGCCCCATGATTTGGTGATGGGAATCTCTCTACTCCTTTCCTAATGGAAGTGGTATGACAGTTGCTAAAACTACCTGCTTGAAATATGATGACAACAGCATTTGCCAGCAGGACATCTATAATTCTTCATGAAGACTTGGGACAGCAATGCTTCATTGCATATACTTGTCCCTGAAGTTATTCCTGATGTTGAAAGTACAGCAGGACATTTATAATGCTTCATGAAGACTTGGGACAGCAATGCTTCACTGCATATACTTGTCCCTGAAGTTATTCCTGATGTTGAAAGTACAGCAGGACATTTATAATGCTTCATGAAGACTTGGGACAGCAATGCTTCACTGCATATACTTGTCCCTGAAGTTATTCCTGATGTTGAAAGTACAGCAGGACATTTATAATGCTTCATGAAGACTTGGGACAGCAATGCTTCATTGCATATACTTGTCCCTGAAGTTATTCCTGATGTTGAAAGTACAGCAGGACATTTATAATGCTTCATGAAGACTTGGGACAGCAATGCTTCATATACTTGTCCCTGAAGTTATTCCTGATGTTGAAAGTACAGCAGGACATTTATAATGCTTCATGAAGACTTGGGACAGCAATGCTTCATTGCATATACTTGTCCCTGAAGTTATTCCTGATGTTGAAAGTACAGCAGGACATTTATAACAATGCTTCATTGCATATACTTGTCCCTGAAGTTATTCCTGATGTTGAAAGTACAGCAGGACATTTATAATGCTTCATGAAGACTTGGGACAGCAATGCTTCATTGCATATACTTGTCCCTGAAGTTATTCCTGATGTTGAAAGTACAGCAGGACATTTATAATGCTTCATGAAGACTTGGGACAGCAATGCTTCACTGCATATACTTGTCCCTGAAGTTATTCCTGATGTTGAAAGTACAGCAGGACATTTATAATGCTTCATGAAGACTTGGGACAGCAATGCTTCATTGCATATACTTGTCCCTGAAGTTATTCCTGATGTTGAAAGTACAGCAGGACATTTATAATGCTTCATGAAGACTTGGGACAGCAATGCTCTACGCCATAAACTTGTCCCTGCAGTTATTCCTGATGTAAAAGTACTTACAGACAACCAGTTACATGACAGTATCACAGTGGTTGGAAAACTGCAGATACTGATGATTCTTCTTCAACCCTCAATGCTCATACAGGTTGATAAGCCTTTGTTATTTTCTCTTGGTGTGAAGTGAATTACTCATATTAAACATGTGATGGTATAAGGCTTGAAGGTGTCCCAATTCCCATTGAAAAAATGCTATTGTCAGACTCAACATAAATTTCAGCATTAAGTGTTTTAATCAGCTAAGATCCCTTTATTGCCCCGTTAGGAAGAGCCAGTTTATTACCGGTATGTAAAATTAAAAAGATTATTTATAACAGCTGTGTTGTTCAACTTTGTTCCACACATATTTTGTTCTGAATGTCCTTTTGAGTGAGTGAGTGAGTTTAGTTTTACGCCGCACTCAGCAATATTCCAGCTAAATGGCGGTGGTCTGTAAGTAATCGAGTCTTGACCAGACAATCTGGTGATCAACAGCATGAGCTTCGATCTGTGCAATTGGGAACCGATGACATGTGTGAACCAAGTCAGCGAGCCTGACCACCTGATCCCGTTAGTCGCCTCTTACAACAAGCATGGGTTACTGAAGATCAATATTCTAACCTGGATCTTCATGGGTCGAATGTCCTTTTGAGCTTGAAGAGTACTATGTGCTGTAACATAGTCTTATGACAAAGGACCTACGTTGGATCTTGTGATATTTCTAAAAGCAGCGTAAAACCATACTCATTCTCTCCACTTATATCCCAGCTCATCTGGCCTGAATGATTGCTTATCACGTGTTGTATGTGATCTGTTTAAGAATGGAACTGAAGTTTTATCCAGGTTCCATTATTTTTCTCTTGAAATCAAAAGTTTGATGTTATCCAAAGCCTTAATAACAGTACACTGGGTTGACTTAGCCAGTGTTAAAGTTCATGGTGTGATTACCAAGCCTTACCTACCATGTTTAACATAATATTTCTAATAATACACTATATGGTAAATATGATGCGATATCATGAATGTTGAGTAATGCGAATCTGAATAATTATTCACTTCAATATTGTAGTTAAGTGATTGATGCACTATAGGAACATGTTGACAGTGTTAAATTGTCACAGCAATAACCAGTCATCTCATGACACTCAAATTTGGTATGTAATAGTTATGTACCATGTGTGGCCTTGGCAAACTAACATGACTAGTGTTACTGCAAGGCTAGTACATATTTCATAATTGCATATCTCTTTGAAAAAGGACATAAGGGTTCACTCACTCATACTGTTCTGGTGACCTGAATAATCTAATTGAATTAGTGAAGGGCTACTGGTTCGATTCACCGAATATGCGAGTGAATCGTAACAGCCTTAATGTTTAACAAATATTTCTAATGAAGGAATGTCTGTTTTGGAGGTCTAGATTGTCTTACAACTAATGTTAAAAATTACTACACACAGAACAGATAATATACTGAACAGCAAAAGAAACTGAAGTTTCGAAAAAAATGAAACCTCATGAAGGTAAGCGTTCATGTTTATGGAACGTTCATGGTAAAGTGACGTAATGATGATGAGATGATGTCATGCAATTTGACATCCATACGAACCATTCGCACAAAAACACCAACAGTGCAGCAAAACCATAATTTTAGCATGTGCATCGACGGTTCTGGATGAAAAGCATGCATTTCACTCTGAGGTATCCTTTATAAAGGTTTGTGTCAAAAAACAGTTCAGTATTGACACTAGGAGATGTACACTCAACACAAACGATGCCTAGACTAACGACTGAGCAGAGAGGAATGGCCATTGGAAAGTTGCACGGAGGTAGCTCTGCAACCGCTGTAGCTAGACAATTGGGCTGTCATCTTACCACCATTACACAACTTGCTCAACGTCATCAGCAAACCGGGGTTGCTGCTGATCGTCCCCGTACCGGACGGCAACGAGTGACATCTCATGCGCAAGATGGGTTCATCCGGGTCACTCATCTAAGGAACCGAACTCAAGCACCAACAGTTACATCAGCCTTAGTCCATGGGTCAAGGGGAGCAGTGTCCAGCGATACGATTAGGCGGCGTCTTCGGGCTGATGGAATCCACTGCCGAAGGCCATATGTGGGGCCAATTTTGACACGCGACGTTTGCAGCCCTCACACAGCAAGGGTGTCGATGGATTATCTGGCTCAAAACAACATTAACGTTTTTCCATGGCCGTCTCATTCCCCGTATATGGCTCCCATTGAACATTCTGGGACGAAATTGGACGGAGGATTGGTGCAGGTAGACAGCCACTCACACTTGCACAATTGGAATAGAGATTGGTGTTTGAGCGGAAACCAATTGCCTCAGGCATTCTTTCAGACTTTACTGAACTCAATGAGGCCACGTTGCACGGCCTGTGTGCAAGCTCAAGGTGGCCATACACGTGACTAAAGAGACTCACTTTTCGCGTTCAGGGGTAGCTCCATTTGACGGACTGTGATCAATTTGAACTTATTGCAATTCAATGTCAACAGCAACTTTCAGCTGTTAAATTGACAGTGTTGTCTATAGAATAAATGATGGGACATGATTTTGGTTGTCTTCTATTCATAAACTTGACAAAAAGCCAGACTTGCGTTTCTTTTGCTGTTCAGTATGCCACTGATAATTACAATGAGACTTGTGACCTATTAAAAACAATGTGAAAACAAATATAGCACTATCCACCTTTATTCATTCACATGACTTCCTGAACCGATGTCTTGTACATAAATATCAACATGTCACAGCCAGGAACATTGTAGAGGAAACTAGGCCTCAGACTCTAGATGTGATATGACACTGAGTCTAAAAGGCAAACACAGGGTGAGAATGGTAACCGTCATGGGTAATAACACAGCGTAATAACACCGCGTACAGTGATGCAGTACTATCATACAGACACATATTTGTGCATAACAACATATGAGTATTGCATATCTCATGAATCAACTCTGCATGGGTACCATCTTCCCAAGGCAAGGGTGTTAACTGACTAGAAAATTCAGTTTCTGTCAGTGTGCGAAATATTCATCATGTGGGTAAGTATGAAAAATCCAAATCATTATCATGGACTTCAATAGTCTGTTATCGTTCTTGCCTAGGGAAGACAAGTTCTTACAGACCAATAATCATAATCATTGGGATCTGGGATTCAAACCCATCATCAACGAATCCTGGTGCTGCAAAGGGACACAATTCTGCACAGCTAATTGAATTGTAGCACCTGAGATCTGGCCTCCATGACCCATTATTTCTGACATGAGAACAGGCTTAAAACTGTCTAGTGACAGGATTTGTGCAAAAGCAAATGTTAAGTCGTTGCTGTCTCCTCTCTTTAAACATAAAAGTCAAAGAAAATGCTGACTAAAATGTATTGTGTTGCAGAGGTGGATCCAGGATTTTTGAGAAGGGGTGTGTGCATATAAATCATGAAGTCCAAAGGTTAGGGGCAAATGCTCCTCAAGGAAATTTTTTTCCGGGAAGAGAGAGGGGGTGGTGGTTATCGCAACCCCCTCTGGATCCGCCCCTGTGTTGCCTTTGTCATTAAACAACATCTGAAATGAGTGTATTTTGTGCAGACTGCAGTAGAGTATCATTTATGTTTACACATCAAGCAATGGATGAGTAAATTACAACTCTAAATTACACCATTGACAATCATATCTAGAATTCTTCTTTTTTTATCTCATTAATTGGTTAAGCATAGTTAGAAAACATTTTAAAACAATGCAGAATAAATAATGACTAAAACAAGAAAGAAATCTGGCATTTTGAAACTTGCATAGCAGTGAGAATTTTTCACAACCATTCAGAAATTTTAAGAAACTTAGTACTTCCTCATCAGCTTTATAATCTATTTTGTTTCTCTTTCAATCTGCATTGTATTATGAT